ATGAAAGAAAAAGAAGACGAAGAAAAAAAGAAGAAAGATATGATGAAAATCTTCAAACACTGGGATCCTTCACCCAGCGGATAAACAGGAGGATGAGCCGTTGACGGGATATGAGGCCGCAACAGCATCATCAGCACTAATCCTCGCCTGTTCTCCCCCTCCCCTCCCTCTTCCTCTCCCCCTCACCTCCGCCCCCACAGAATCTCGGCCGTCACGTTGTCTTGCAAATGCCGCTCCTCTTCCCCTTCGCTTCCCCTCTCCTCCTCAACCTCCGTCTCCCTCCCTCTCCTCCTCTCCTTTTTGCTGCTGCTTCTCTTCCTCCTCCTTTCTTCTTCTTTTTCTTCATTTTCCCCTCCTCCTCATTTTTTCCCTCGCTTCCTCTTCATCCTCCTCCACCCCTCCATCTCTCCTCCTCCTCCTCTTCTCTTCTCCTCCTCCTCCTCCATCTTCTTCTCCCTCCTCCCCCTCCCTCCCACCCTTCGACTTCGCGGAGCAGACTGACTTCGCCGCAATCCGGACTAAGTGAACGAACATCATGGAAAAGAGAGTCTCGACATTTTCAAGAAAATTGTCCCAGAAATCAATAGCCATTAATTTAGGTATTGCAGTGCCAGCCCCACCCTCCCCTTCCCTCCCATCACCCATCCACCCACCTAGCCTCTCCCCTCCCTCCGCACCCCTCCGTTTCCCTCCCTTCCCTCCTCCCCTCCCGTCTGCCTCCACATCAGCGCACGGAAGCGAACGGATCTCGTAATGAACTGACTCAGGTAGTGCTTATGGTGTCTACATTCACGTGGCGAACCTTGATCTATTATGCAATTCGATGGTGATTTAGATGTAAATAGAGAGAGGGATGGAGAGGCAGGTTGAAAAGGAGAGATGGATTTGCTGTATGTGGAGGTACATTCACACACTAACGCATACTTACACATAACATATACGTGGAGATGTTGCATACCTATAAATACAAAGTATACAAATACACAAGCACCACACACCACACACTCATACACACAGACTATGTATATATAATACATATATATATATATATATATATATATATATATATATATATATATAAATACATTTATATATATAGATACATAGATATAAATATAAATGTGTGTATATATATATATATATATATATATATATATATATATATATATATATATATATATATGTATGTGTGTGTGTGTGTTGTGTGTGTGTGTGTGTGTGTGTGTGTGTGTGTGTGTGTGTGTGTGTGTGTGTGTGTGTGTGCATAAATATATATATACACATACAGATGTATACGTGTATATATATACGCTTATGTATATATGTATGTGTGTGTGCGTTTAACGAGAGAGTGAGAGAGAAGGAGAGAGAGAGAGAGAGAGAGAGAGAGAGAGAGAGAGAGAGAGAGAGAGAGAGAGAGAGAGAAGAGAGAGAGAGAGAGAGAGAGAGAGAGAGAAGAAGCGCGAAAGAGAGAAGAGAAGAAGAGAGAAAGAAAGAAAGAATGAGAAATCAGAAATCAGAAAACAGAAAGCAAAAGAGACGTCCCTTCACCGATAGACAAATCATAAAAAAAACGAAGATGAAACGAGAAAGAGAAAGAGAACACGCAAATAGAAAGCGAGGGGAAAGGCGAGCGAGCGAACGCAGGGGTGTCACAGACCGATCGGAGCCAGAGACCGGAGACAGATACAAATACGACGGATAACGCACACAAAGGCCGAACGGGGCGAGAGACGTTGAGCAGACAGACAGACGGACATGACGACAGACACGGGGACACGGAAGAGGGGGGAAGGAGGGGGGGGGGGAGAGGGAAGACAGACGTAGGGGGCGAGGGCGGATGGGGACGGGTGGATGAGGATAATGACTTGGCAAGGTATAAACATTTGGCAATCTCCAGGGCAAAGTGTGAGTGCGCCGCTGTGTGTGTGTGTTTGTTTGTTTGGTTGGTTGTATGCGTGTGGGGGAGTGTGTGTGTGTATTTGGTTGGTTGTATGTGTGTCTGTGTATGTATGTGGGTGTTCGTGCGTGTGTGTGTGTGTGTTCGTGCATGTGTCTGTGTTCGTGCGTGCGTGTGTGAGTGTATGTGTGAATGTGAGTGTGTGTGTCTATCCATGTCCATGTGCATGTGTATATGCATGTGTGCGTGTGCATGTACGTATACGCATGTAAGCATAACCTCAATAATGGGCGTCAAACTCGTCAATGGCCTGACTACCCTACACAGTTTTCTTGTTGTGGTCGTTATGACGTTTGCATTGTTGTTGTTTTTGCTCGCGTTCCCCTGTTGATCGTGGAGTGGCGCTGCTCTTATTTTCGCGTTCCATTGTCAGGGCAACTGGTTATTTTTTCGGCTCTTTTGTATCGTACTCTATTTTTATCCCATTGTTAGTAAAACGCCTACTTAGAAGTTAAGCGTGGTAGGGAATAATGAATTTTGTCCCAATAAATGTACATGGGATAGATAGACAAATAAGTAGATAAATATATAGATAATAAA